TGAGATCAAGAGGATCTAGGCTCAAGGCCAGCCCAGGCAGATAATTCATGAGGCCCCCATGTCCAAAATAACCAGAGCAAAATTGACTGGATGTGTGGCTCAAGTGGTAGAGAGCCTGCTTTGCAAGGCCGGAGCCCTGAGTTTAAAACCTCAGTCCCACAAAAAAAAAAACTCAATTCTTCGTATATGTAACTATATCTTTGGAGTAAAATCCATCTTTAAAATGATGCCCTAAGGGCTGGGTTTATTAGTTCACACCTATAATCCTGACTTTAGGAGGAGTGGTCAGACTGAGGCCAAAGTTCGCCAGATCCCATGTCAACAAACAAGCCAGGCTTGGTGTTGCTTGTTTGTAACCCCAGATATGCCGGAGGCATAGGTAGAAGGATCTTATTCAGAGCCCAGCCCCAGGCAAATAAGACTGGGGACGTGGCTCAAGCTGTACAGCTCCTGCCTAGCAAGTACAAGACCCTGAGTTCAAACCCCAGTACCACCCCTCAAAAAAAGATGTCCTGTAATATTTGTTATATAATTACTGCCTTGTCTTAAATACCATTTCAATTTTTGTAGCAAGAGTGCTCTTGTATTTTCAGCATTGTATTTTCATCTCTGACGAGGCAGTAAGGGTTTAATTCCCTTAGTTATTACTGGATGACAATTGGACAAAACCCTCTTCCTTGTCACAAAGCCCATTTTATGTGATCTATTGGATTCTTTATCCAAAAAAAAAAAGCATGCAGTACCGTACCCATAGAGCTATAGAGTATGAGTTGTTTCCCCTTGTGATGGTCAGGCAGCCTGGGAGCTGGGACCCACCCTCCCCAGAGTTGCAGCCTATATTTCCACTGAGATCACTAGGCCCAGAAGTGGTTGAAATTCATGAAGACCGTTAGTTTGGGGACCATCTGTATTCATGTTTAAGTGAGTCTTAAGAGTCAGGGAAAAAAAGCCTTTCCTTTTTCAGTCAGCGAAACCATACCTAAAGACCTAATGCTGGCTTCCCTTGGATAGCTCCCTGTTTTTGTTGTTTTGTGCAGAGCCAAGGAGAGGTGTCACAATGTTAGGACACTACTGGCATGGGGAGGGGTTGCTGATTTCTCAGATGCGCTTCTGGTTGTAGTATGAGTGTGGAGAAACACTTTTCATTAGACCTCCAGTCCCCTCTCCACTTATTAATGCTGTGCTCTTCCATGGTCTTCCAGGACAGACCACTGAACTGTCACCAGAAAGACCTCCGCAGTTGAGCGCCTCCAAAGGAGGACTGTAAACACGGTTGTAGTCACAGTCATTAACTGTTGACTCGAGCTGTTCCTACCAAGTCAGCTATCTTAAGCCAAAAGGAGAACAGGTAGCATCAAGTTTTGTTATGTTTTTATATTCACTCAATGCTGTGGCCTCCTTAGGGAAGTTGTTAGAGAGGTTTGCTAGCAAATGCAGTGGTGTATGTTGATTGCTGACTGCTGCTTTATTTCTATGTACTTATTTTTTTGTGGCATACATTAATAGTACGAGGGGTCTCACTGTGATAATGCCATAGATGTGTACTTTGAACAAGTTCACCTCTTTAAAGTTTGCTTGTTCAACTTTTTGTTTCTCTCTTTTTGTTGTTCTAGGATTTGAATTCAGGGCTTCATGTTCCGCAGGCAGGCACTCTGCAATTTGAGCCATGCTTCCAGCTTTTTGTGTGTGTGTGTGGTGCTGGTCATTGAGCCCAAGGCTCACATGTTTGCAGTTTTTATCATGATATGGTTTATACTCTGAAATACCTGACATAGATTAACTTTTGCTGGCCATGGAGGTGCATACTAACAAGGCTAAGAAAAGCTGTTGCTACCTATGGTTTTTTTTCTTAAAATTTAATTTCACATGAATTCTAAGATTCTACTCCCTGAAGTTTTGCAGTTAATAAAATGCTGCACTTTCCAGGGTTGTCATTCCATCTGGGCTCATGGGTCCTTTGTTTTCTGGGGGTGGGTAGAGAGCGGAAGTCTTGCTCCAGTTGTATCAGTGACTTTAGGGGAGTCACAGAGGCCTCTGTGCCTCCTTTCTATCTGCCAAGTGAGGAGAGGGCGAAATCTGTCCTTCCATGTTGTGAAACCCTGAGGGATGAAAGCCAAGCCACTAGGAAATTCTTTAAAGATGGAAGCTCTCATCCTCTGTGCACAGCTACGTGGCTGTGCTACCATGAGGGTTGCTTTCCTGTTGTGTGCCTCACTCTTCGTGACTAAAGGTTTAAATTTATACCTTTGATCCGCTCAACCTGAAAAGGCCATATATGAAGCTTGTATGTTGTTTCTCAATGAACAACAACAAAAAAATCACTACTACTTTACATGACACATGTGTCAGTCTTCTGAAAGCACTATTGCCACAAGGCATGTCAAGTTCTAGGGAAACAAAAAAAAGGGAAAAAGCTTACTTATCTCTTCCCTAGAAGCAGTTCTTCCTTAATTTTAGAAGTTAACATTTCCCCTAAAATAATTAACTCCAACTTAATGAACTTTGGGTTTTATTCTGTAAATAGAAACTACATTGAATTTCTTTTCTAAATGCTGAATACCATTCGAATGTCAGCTAAGAACACAGGCAAAGTTCAGAAGTTATAAATGTTGACCAGTGGTAAATAGTGCCCCATTTTCTTGTATTTGAAAGGACAAAATGGCATCCTAAGTTTATATTAATAGGATGATTAAGTAAACTGTAGGTATTTTCAGTGTTAGACTATACAGTCGTTCAAGGATACTTTTTGATAGTCACCTAAAACCAAGTAGTAGTAGGAAAGTGCTCAGGAATGAGAAACAGGGTACAGAACCAACTGCAGGAGGAATTATCCTGTGGTGGTGATGATGGAACCACACCTAAGGAGTTCAAAATCCCAGGAAAGCTACCTTCGCCCCGTGCAGTAAACTTTCAGGGATTGAGTCTCTTGCATCCAGGGAACATCATGATGTACTGCTGTCGGTGATTAAATTAGGGTTCGTAAATGTTTAGGTCATACCAAATTCTTACCTCATTTTCAGTTTTCTAAATGCTTTCAGTATAGTCTAGGGTCATTATTTGCAAATTTAAAATCAAGGAATTTTACTTGTTTACTTCTCATTAGAAAATACTTTATCCTGACGAGCTCTGTTGTTAGAGTAATAGTTCACAGCAGTAGAACTAGGATCTCTGGCATTTCATAACAGCAAAACCAGTAGGTTTTGTTTTAAAACTTTCCTGTAAATTACCTTTGTCACATATGGATATCTTAGTGGTGTGGGAAAGAGTGTCATTTTTAAAATCATGTATTTTGGAAATCTTATTAGCACTTAAATGTTTTTGTTTTCTGGTTTTGGGCAGCATTGGGGTTTGAACTCAGGTCCTTGTGCTTGCTAGGCAAGCACTTTACCACTGGAGCCACGCCCCCAGCCCTTGTTGCTTTTTATTTTTCAGATAGGATCTTGGACTTCAGTTCTCCTTAGTACATCTCTCTTGCGGTTGGAGTTACAGATACACACCACCACACCAAGCTTTTTTATTAAGATAGGGTCTCACTGGCCTGGAACTGTTATCCTCCCAATTTCTGCCTCACAAGTAGGTGGAATCACAGGTGTGAGCCACCAAGCCCCACCCAGTCTTTATGCCTTCACTCACACACACACACACAAAGACATCTTAAGCAAAAAAGTCTGTTTGCAGGCAGAAGTCATGGCTTAGTGGTACAGTGCCTGCCTAACATAACCATCACAAGGCCCTGAGTTTCAACCCCTCCTGCTACAGGAAAACGTCTATTTGCTACATTCTGCAGCCTAAGATGAAGACAGTTAATTCCTAAAAGATTTCTGTTATAAAAATCATTTTTAAATAGCTAGTCTTTGCCAAATACCTGAAGTAAACGTTTCCATTCTCCAGAACATGTGAAGCACTTGGTGCATGTTCTTCCTGATGTTTTTCATGCATGTACACCCGAAGTACACATGCTTATGCTGTTATTTTTCCAGGTTAAGTACTACTGCATACTTTTCTGATTGCTTTTCCCTTTCTGGGTCTGTCCATTTGAAGTTTAAACCACAATCCTCCTGATCAGTGAGGATTATAGGCATGAACCACCGCACCTAGCTGTCCAAAGCTCTTGATATAGAAAATTATGTTATTTCAACTTGTTGCTATTACTGTCTTTTAAACAGCTCAAGTATCTCTTTGTGTTCATCTAGGGTGCTGTGGTAGAGCCCAGGGCCTCTTGCATGCCAGATAAGCTCTCCAGCTCCACGTTCCATCCCAGCCCCTGAAGTGTCTTTTGAAGTCATGATTTTGGGTGAAGATGCTGATTTCATAAGTCAATCTGCTGAACAGTCAGAATCTTGAGTTTCTCCTTATTTAGAACTAGGGCTAATTTATTTGGAAGAAGTTATGGTCCTTCTGTGCAGCCACTGTGCAGACATTGAGGAAGGGAACATGACAAGACAGTGGGTGCTCCCAAGGACAGACTTTGGGAGTATTCCACTTGTGTCACCACAAGTTGTGCCATTCCTCCCCAAAGACAATGACACTAAATTCTTTGACAAAATGCTAATCATTAGCTGGGTGTCCCAGCATATACTTGTAATCCCAGCTACTCAGGATACAGGTAAGTTTGAGGCTGATCCAGGCAAAGTTAGTGATCCTATCTCAGACAAAATCGAAAAACAAAAGGACTAGGGCATAACTTCAAATGGTGTGAGGTCTGGGTTCAGTCCTCAGTGCTGGGAGGGAAATTGCTAATCGTTATTTAATGTGTTAGCCCAGAACTGAGCCTCATAGCTACTTCCTCTGATTCCCAAAAGTTCTGACAAAAACTTGTTTTCCTTTTTTCTTTTTTGGGGGAACGGGGGAGTGGTGATACTGGCATTTGAACTCCTGGCCTTACATTTGCTAGGCAGGCGCTCCACCACTTGAAATACTCCAGCAGCCTTTGTGTGTGTGTTTATTGACATTGTAAAATATTCTTAGGCAAGCTAAATAATTTCTTTCCTTTTTTTCAGCGGGTCCATATGGAATATTTGCGGGTAGGGATGCCTCCAGAGGACTGGCAACATTTTGCCTGGATAAGGATGCACTTAGAGATGAGTACGATGATCTCTCAGATTTGAACGCAGTACAGATGGAGAGTGTTCGAGAATGGGAAATGCAGTTCAAAGGTACCTTCATTTTCTTGGGTTCTTTGAAAAATTAAATGTAAGTTCAAAGAAAGCACATACCATTTCACTTTTTAAGAGCTAGAGGGTGTCATCCCCTCATTTCCAGCAGTAGATGGTATTTTAAGCATAAATATTAACATGGTTGCTATATGAAAATCTGTGTTTAAAAATTGACCTTCTTTGGCGGTACTGGGGTTCAAACTCAGGACCTCACATTTGCTAGGCAGATGCTCTACTGCTTGAGCCATGCCCCAGTACAAACACTGACATCGCCAGGTGGTGCCACACACCTGTAATCCCATCTGAGATCTCTACATGGGCACTTTTAGTCTTTTAAGACTTACACATTAAAGTATATTTTTTTAAAACATGGGCTTGCATTTAGAGCTGAATTGAGGGACTTAGTGTAGCTCAGTGATAGGTCACACTTAGCATGTTGAGAGCCTGGTACTGGGTTCCATCCCCAGTACCATCAAAGCAAAAATTGGATTAGTGGTATCAGTACTGTAATTACAGTTCCGAATGATTTAATTAGTCTTAACTCAAATGGTTACAAAGGAGTTTTGTTCCCTTTATCATGCCCTGATGACGTCAGTTTTACCACCTGTGTGTCAGTGTGTCAGCAGCATAGCAGACCCCTGGGTCCTTTGGAATAGCTGTTCTGGCTTGTACTAGTTCGGCTGCATGAAGTAGTCCTCTTTTTTTTTTTTTTTTTTTTTTCTGGTACTGGGGTTTGAACTCAGGGCCTACACCTTGAGCCACTCCCAGCCCTTTTTTTCTGATGGGTGTTTTCAAGGTAGGTTCTCATGAACTTGCCCAGGCTGGCTTCAAACCACGATCTTCCAGATCTCTGCTCACTGAGTACCTAGGATTACAGGCACGAGCCACCAGTGCCCGGCGATGTAGTCCTCTTAACTAATCCCCTTGGTAGCTAGTTCACTTCACCTAGGTTTGACTTCCAGATCGAGAAGTTTATACCAACATGACTACAAGGCTCTAAGTTAAAAACAAGCAGAGTAAGAAGAAAGTTTGACACAGGAAAGACCAGTAACAAGTAACAAAGTCACTTCCATCTCCTCCTTTGGCTCATCTCGAGGAGAAGCCACACTTTCTCCCAGAACATCTGTTCACCACGTGGGTCTCTGCCTCAGGTGGTCTTCCACCTCCAAAAGCCACCACTTCCTTTTCAGGGTTGTTCAGTCTTTTTGTCTGCATTAAAATCCACTGTGGTGAAGCCCAGGTAGAACTTGGCCTGTTCTGTGATTCTAAAAGGGGCAAGTGCTTTGTCTCTGTAATGGAATACTGAAACAAATTTGACTACTACTGATTTTCTTTTGATGTATTTTTCAGAAAAATATGATTATGTAGGCAGACTCCTAAAACCAGGGGAAGAACCTTCAGAATACACAGATGAAGAAGATACCAAGGATCACAATAAACAGGATTGAACTTTGTAAACAACCAAAGTCAGGGGCCTTCAGAACTGCAGTTCTTTCTCCCTTCACAGAATGTCCAGTGTCTTTGGGTTTGATTCACCTGCTGCGAAAACACTCAACAGATTGTGTTCCATATAAATGAGTCTCACTATGAAGATCTGAGTGCTAGACATTATTTACACTGCCAAACTCCTTTGTTGCAGTTGTTTCTAATGTCTGGTGGGTGTTTGTCATCTGCAAAGGAGAGGTCAGGGAGTTCTTCGACAGCAAGAAAGTCCACAAGGAGGTTACTTTCAGCTCGCACGCTCTCTTTCTCTCTCTTTCCCTCCCTCCCCCCCCTTCATTCATTCCTTCTTTTTTAAAAAATGTATCAAAGACAACCAGATACGTATTTGCTACTCAAGTGTACAATTCTCCTCGAAAAGCAGCAAGGGACTCCTGTTTCACATGCTGTGTTTTGATTTTAGCATTAAGGAGGGAGGAGGCCTGGAAGGGAGGTGGGAGTTGCACGTTAATTTGAGTAGTTGAGGCTACTGAAACATTACAATGTGAGTTCCCAAACTTGGGCTTTGTCAGGGAAAAGGAAAGAACTTTTTTCTAATAGTCCTTTGGAAATGAGTTTCAGGTGGATTGAGGTCAAAGCAACTCCCCAACTGAGATCTTAGAAACCAATTTTATCTCTTCCTTTCCTTCCCCTAGGTCAAATCAATATTAATTGTGCCTTATTTCACTTCCATAAACTTGAATTAATTTTAGGGAAAGCCCCTATGTGAATTCAGAAGTCACTACAAGCAGCATTGAAACTGAAGTTGGAATAAACTTGATGTCATTCTGTGTATCTAGAATGTAAAAGGAACAGTCAGTGTTAACTGCCATATCTGTTAATATACACAACTTAATTACCACTGTAATGGCCAAATGCATTCCCCATGCTTTTCTCTCTCCCAAAAAATTGAAAAACAAATCAACTCTTATCCCCCAACCACTCCTAACTTTAGGAGTGGCCCTCACACCTGGTGTGGGTGCATGGGGCGGTGGTGTGGATGTCTGTGTGGGTGAGTCTTGGGTGTATGTGAGAGGCCGTGGAAGGGACTCTTTCTGCAGATACTGTAAATACAAGTACCGTTTTAATAAAGCATGTACAATAAACCAAAGAGGCTTGAGTTGCACTTTAATATACAAAACTATGAGCCAGTGCATTGTGATATGTTAATATAGTTGTGCATTTGACTCAAGATAAGGAAAGCCTTGGAAACGAGAAGGGGACACTGGCTAACCAAGTTGTACACATTGCACCACATTCAGTGTAACTTGGAAGAAATTCCACTTGTGGAACATTCTCATGAGATCTGTGACTATTAAGGTAAGAACTGATACTGAAGTGGCATATTTTACTCTACATTTTGATGCCAACTGATGATGCTAGAACTGATAGCACTCCAAGCCACAGTTGACCAGATAAAGGATTTATTGCACTGGTAGATATTAAAGTCTTCCATGATTAGATTGAAAGCCTCATATGTGTCAAGTGTTTGGTTTCATCATGACTGTAGGTTCTTGGTTGGAGAACAAGTTTTACCAAAAAAAAAAAAAAAAAAAAAAAAAAACCTGCTTAGGTCACCAGTTAAAGACCTGCCTACTGGATATAGTGTATGCAGTCGGACGTAGTGTATGCAGTCACCATGAAAGAAAGGGAGACTCCTGACTAGCAGCAAGCTACGGCATGTAAAATGCACACCCTCCTCAATCTTGGGAAGAAAGGTCTTCAGCCAGGGCTTGGCTAGAGTGGTTGTAAGATTGAAGAGGTTGGTAATTGTTTTTGGTGAGGTACATGCCCTCTGTACTTGTGAAGTGACAGTAGATGAATCATAGACCTGCAGTTGTGAACAGAAACCCTGAAGTATCCAGGCAGTGAAAATCATGCAGTCTGTCAGGAAAATGAGTGATTTTATGTTTGGACTGTATACACTGTCCGTAGATAATTCTTTAGTTCTGTTTGAACTCTCATTTTTGGGTAGTTTGGTCAGTGGTCTTTGAATGAGGGACCAGAGCTTTTGGTGGTATATGTTCCCTCCCTGGGCTGTATTTCCCAAACTTGCAGTGCTTAAAATGCAGATGCTTTTTTTTTTTTCAGTGTTGGGATTTGAACCCAGGGCCTCACTGTGCTAGGCAGAGGCTCTGCCATTGAACTACTTCACCAGCCACAAGATAGAGATTCTTGACCCCCACCTGCAAAGCCAGAATCTTCACTTGTAAGAGGTGTCTCGTTCCTAGGGTCAGGCACACTGGAGAGACTCCGCAGAGAGCTTTTCCAGGTACATTGTCCACATCTGTCTGCCATTGGTGTATGCTAACCACTTTGTCGGCATTAGGAAAGGAACCCATTCAGACAGATGGGGTTTTAAAAGTTCACAGGTGTTAAGGCTGTGTGAGTTTTCCTGAAAGTGATTCTACCTGCCTTTCTAAGACCTGTAAAATCTGTCAGTGCAGCATCACCCACAATCTAGAAAGCTAAATGTAACATGTTATCTAGAAAACTTGGTCTTTGAACCAGACTCATGACCCATGTGTTGTGTTTGCCTACTGGTGACTGAGAAGTGCCATGAGTTGCCAGGAATGTCCACCATTAACATGCTAATGCAGCTGTACTTTACAGAGCCTTTACAGATCAAAAGCAACTGGCAATATGCTAGTAATTTATAAAATATATAAGTTGTTCTGAGCATATTGAAAATAGAAGTCCTGGACCTTTACAGTGATGATAGGGACTGAATTGTAATTCTGATTCCTCTACTGAAATTAGCAAATGCCTCGAGAATGCTTTTGAGTGCATACATACTGTGTCAAGGTCAGCTATTAATTTGGTACATACTATTAATGAGATTATGAGCTGTTTGACTGACCAGCCACCTCCTCTTTTTAGGAAAACAAGCATAATTCCCATGCAGTGTCAAATGCCTCTGCTCCTCCCCGTGCTTCTGAGCCACACTGGGGAACCCTGGGCTGGAGTCACTGAACACTGGGCTCTTCTCAGGTTTTTCGGTGTTAGCTGTACCTACACAGGACCCTACTAAACCTCATCTTCAATTTGGGATAAGAAGTCTGATACATGTTTGTATATGCCTTTAAATACTCTCTAAAGCATTATTTTAACAGCCTTATAGCAGTGTTTTAAAATTTTTTTGGGCCATATGATATGGTCCAAATTTGGATAGAGGTGAAAAACAAGGGAGAACAAAGTTTAGAAGATAAAACTAAAATGTGCTTTTGCTGGCTATAAAAGTAATGTGCTCATTGAGTGGAAAGTACTAAGGAAATAAGAATTAACCAAAAGTAGCTAAGCAGCTAACCCTGTCCAAAACCCTTCTCTCTTGCAATCCCTTTCTGTGTACAAGGGATTATAGTATATTCTCTCAGTCCAAGGCTTCAGGCTCAAGGTACCCATCCATGCTTACTGAACATCTCCTGAGTTCTTAGAGCCTCAAAATTTGTGCATTGTTTTCCCCCAAACTCACCCTTGCTCATACTGTGACAGAGCCACTGCACTCTCCTGACTTGTCTTTCTACCTGCCTTCCTATTACCAAGTCTATGGTTCCTGTTGACAGAGTCAAGTTTAGCCTGGTTGCTTTCCTGTGTAAAGGCCTTCAATGACTTCTCGAGATGGAAGACAAGGGTTAGCCCTGGCCTCTTCACCAGTTCCCACTTCACTAACTGCTACTTAAAATAGTTATTCTGGAGTAGCCTCCCAGGCACCCCCTAGCTATTTCCCCACTCTTTTCTTGGTCTGGGTATAATCTTCCCCAAACCCTGCACAGCTAACTGCCCATCAGCTAACTTTAAACTCAGGCTTGGACCCACTGACCCAGGACCAAATTAGGGAGCCCTCCCTCCTTTGTCCACAACACCAGATACATTTTTATCATTGAAGAAACTCTGTGATTATCTCTCTCCTGATAAACTAAGGACCACATTTATTATTCTACTCTAGGTTTTCCCCAAACTTAATACGTAATGTTTGCTCAATGCATTTTGTTAAATGAATTTGTAAACTGAGCTCAACTAATCCATACAGGCTTTAGCTCTGAGAAGCACCAAGGCCTAGGCACCACTTCAGAGCAGTTTTTTTTTTTCTTTTTTAGCTCTGTTTACTGGGCTTGCAATTAACAATTTCATGCTACAAAATAACAAAGTAGTGCCCTTTCAGGTCATGAATTTCCAGGGGTAGAACCATGCAGGTTTATGAGCATCTAACACTGTTGTATGTCATCAGGCTACAAGACCTTCCTTCCAACCACTGGACATAGGTGGGAGCAGCACAGTACAACCCGGCTTGGTACCATGTGACGAGGATTATTCTCCAGCAGCTATAGCCTCCATGTGTCCACAGCAGGGAAGGACGGGACTCCCAGTTGAGCTACTATTCATCAGTCCCTCTGAAATCTCCTCTCACTGTGCCCCAGGCCCATCACAGAGGTGCTCCCTGCAGACTCCAGTCTTTACCCATGGTAACGTGGGAAAAGACAGTGAAAAAAATTTAAATTTGTTATTCCACACTGCAGTGTAATAAAAGCATGGTGAAAACAGCCCAAGCTGAGGCTTTTCCAGCAGGAAAGATGCTTGCCCTTCCAGTGAGGACTGGTGAGAACAGAAGACGAGGGTGAGAGGAGTAAGTCACTTCTTGTAAAAGGGGCAGCAGGGAGCCCTTTCCACCTCTGGGTCAGGCCGAGTCTACAGTGGGAAGAACTTAGGCCCAGACGGTGCCACTTCTGGTGGTTACGTTTCTCAAGTGTAGAAAGGGGCTGATAGGATCTTCAGATGGCACACGATTGCTTATGTAAAGGAATAACCTGAGGAGTCCTTTGTTAATCAACACCATATTCCTAGTCTGCCCACCGTTAACTCTCAGAGTCATGACGCAGAGCAATATAACATCAGATATTAAAGCCCACCAGTAACGCCAGGATTCAGTTTCCACGTCTGTTAAAACTCTGGCACACCAACCTCATCATCTGTTTTGAATCTGGGCTCATGGGTAAGGGGGATCCTGAAATGATTTGCGTTATGGTGAATCTGCAGTTGAGGTGTCAGGGGACTGAGAGCCCACTAAATAAATTCTGAACACTCACGTCTACAGTGGAGCAGCACGTTGTGCTAATTTGGGGAACAGAACAAAATGCCAGATGACAGCAACGAGTTCACAGGTGTACCTCCTATTTAACTTTCATGGATTTATTTTCCTGGTTTGAATGGACCCTTAACTGCCACCTGATAGTTCGGAATCACATCTCAACCCAGCTGTGCTAGGCACAACTAGTGACTCGTCCTGTTCAAAGATTTTCCTCAAATGATTGAATCTCAAATTTCAGTTTTGGTCAATCCTAAACGAAAATCATGAGACCCATGTTTTGAGCAGCCAGAGTCCAGATCAAGTGGAGTCTGCTTGTGGTGGTTGTTTGTCACTTGAATGAGTCCAGGGCACCCAAATGTTTGGTTGCATACTTGTCTAGATGTTGCCGGGAAGGCATTTGTGGATATGATGAACATTTACCATGACAGCCTCATGTAATCTGCTGAGGACTTTAAGAACAAACAGGTTTCCAGAAAAGGAAGCAATTCTGCTCAAGACTTCAACCTAGAAACCCTCCCCATTTTCAATCTGCTGGCTCACTGTGTAGATTCTGGATTCAGCCCCAGCAAGGTCACCTTTTCCCTGGTCCAGCCCTACAGATTTCAGAGTTCACAGCAGCATGACACAGTCTTTAAAATAAACAACTCATTCTGTTTCTTACTGGTTCTGGCTCTCTGAATGCCCTAAACAAACATACTTCCTAATTTACTAGTATATTGTGAGACTTTTTAAAGTTTTGTTTCTTTTTTTTTTAATTAACAAGTCTATGATTGTGTGTAGTACTTAATATTTGATCTGATATGACCACGTTGGCTTTGTTTCTTAACTCTGAAATGCATTTCAACTTTGAAATAATACACTTACCGTTTGCCTTACATTATCCTACATAAACCTGCAATAAACTTTCATCTAATCTCTGAAATAAGGTTTCATCAGATGCCTGAGACTGACGGAGCACAAAGAGGAAATAATTCCTCTGACCCATTGATGCCAAAGCCAGCAACATTCAGGTTGAAGACGTAATT